CCCCCCCCCAACTCTCCCCTCTCTCTCTCTCTTTTCTTCTTGCCGCAGACTTTTCGAAGAGGGCCAAGCCCGAGACCGACGACGGAAGGAACTGAGATCCCGACAGCAGCAACGGCTTCAAGGTGTCCCTTCGATCTCCCCTATCCATCTGATGGATGACGATCGCCTTCACGAATCCCTATCCGAGGGTCGAATCCTGCAAGAAATGCCTGCTTTGTCAGACGGCAACAGCATCTTGATCCGCGACACTCAGATGGAAAGCACAATGATCTGCATGCACCAAGAGAAAAACATCCACGGCAAAATTTTTGGTGGCTTCTTGATGCGCCAGGCCTATGAGCTGGCATTTGCCACGTGTTACGTCTTCTCGGGGCTGAGACCCGTCTTTCTTGAGAACGATCAGATTACCTTTCACAGGCCGGTGGACGTCGGCGATCTCTTGAGACTCAAGGGGTGTGTATTGTACACGGAAAAGCGGGATGACCCCTCGTTGGGACCGTTGATTAGAGTGCAGGTGGTGGCGTATATCACCAAGCCGGAAAAAAGATCCAGTGAAGTATCAAACACGTTTTACTTCACTTTCAGCGTCAATGCCCAGGAGCTGAAACAGAGCGGGAGGGCCGTCAGAAGGGTATTGCCGGCTACAGAAGAAGAGGCCAGAATATATGTCACAAGATACGAGGCAGATCATCCCCCACCCCCTGCTACTTCTTCTTCTCCCCCTCCGCCACCATCCCCAAGCAGCTAATTTCTTTTTTTGTTCGACTGATTGATTTTTTTTTTATTTTTTTTTTTTGCGGGCTATGGAACAAGGGGCCAGAATATATGTCGCGCATGATACGAGGGAGATCATTCCCTCCCCACCTCCACGAAGCTTTTTTTTTTTTTTTTTGAAATTTTAGGTGGTGGAAGAAAGGTAACGATAGTCGGTTTTTTTTTTTTTATTTTATTTTTAAATTATCGTTATCGTTTTATAACGGCCAGTACGTCGTAAGAATAAGTGCCTCGCTCCGCTACTCACCACATGCAGAAAAGACAAAAAATATGGCGGTGTACCTTGCCGTGTTCTAGCTGGAGATTCATTCTCATTTTGCACGTTTGGTGCGTAGCGGAACGAGGCCCGAAGTCGAAAAGTAGGTATGTCAATAATACCGCTGTTCGCCCTTTTGTGGGAGTTGTTGTTGTTGTTGTTGTTGTTGTTGTTTTTTTTTTTTTTTTTGAGGGAGGGGTCTTTTCGTCTCGTAGGGCTTGTAATACTAGACTAGATTTGAGTGGCCTTTTTTTTTTTTTTTTTTGAGTGGGCAATTTTTTGTTTGGATGCAGATCTCCGCATTCTATCAAGTTCGTTATTCTGATGAATCTGATCCTTTTCTTCTTCCTCCCCACCTCCCCCACCCCCACCCTCTCCTTTTCTTTTTTCTTTTTTTTGTTATTGGGGTGATCACAACTGTCTATATTCTTCTCTCAACTTTCTGTTTGTTTTACCTTCCACTACCTACTCCTAAGACTTTCTAGAGGGGACCCCTGCAAGCATAGTTTTCCTCTCTCTGTGAAGGGGAGATCATGTTGCCCCTTGCCCCTAATGGTTAGGGTATAGGGTTGGGGCCGCCAGTTGGGGTCTGGCTAACACAAAGACCGAGACCTGCCAGTAGCTGTGCCTCCCTTTCTCATCGTCCCCCACCCTTCATGGAGTAGCAGCAGAGGCTATGGCCAACACCCTCCCACACACCACACACAACCCACTCGCGCTCACACTCACACCCGTGTTGGTCATAGACCCCGCTAATACCGATCAGGGGTATCCAGAGGGCTATCACAATCCGTTGGCACTAAGTGCGCCGCAGGCGGCCATGGGGCTTGAACCCACAACTCCTGAATGCCACTTGCATGCCTAACCAACTGAGCTAGGCCCCTGGATCCTCTCCTTTTTTTTGACCCCTAGGTAGATAAACTAGGTAGATAAACTAAATAGTAAATACATAGCTAAATTAACGGATAATAAAACCTCCACAAAACATAGCTTGGTTGCCTCTCGAGTGGCTGGTTACCCGCGATGATTTTTTTTATTTTTATTTTTTTAAAAAGGGTGACGACCTTGAGGTATCAAAATTGAATTGGCTGGGCCCAGGTAATTCACAACGTCTTTTCCCTTCTCTTCATCTGATGGTTGGGTCTGTAATTCAACAGTTCATTGGGCGTACCAACTCTTTTTTTTTTTTTTTTTTTTTTAATGCGAGAATCATTTTGAAACAGGTGTTTCTTTTGTTTTTTTAACGGAAAGGATATTCACGGAAATCAATGCAGTGCTTCGACACATGTTGGACTGAGGGCCTCGCCACACCACTGTCGAAAGGAAAAAAGTTTGAGTGCATCTTCACGCAGAGCGTGGCAAGATGCATAGGTTACTATGAATAGCAACGGATGCATCTTACCACTTTCTGGGGTAAATGCATTCTTTCGTTTTTCGTTTGGACAGTTGTGAGTCTTCGGGACTGTTCAACTCCCCCACAAGTGTTAGTGCTGCTGGTAAGAGCAGACACCACTAACACCTGGATTTTTTTTTTTAACTCCCCCACAAGTGTGAGTGCTGCTGGTAAGAGAAGACACCACTAACACCTGGAGGGAGATCCCACTAACGATGTATGTGGAGTAGTGTGACGGTTGCGGGACGTGCGGGCGACATCTGTGTGGCATCCTTTACTCCGCGATAAATGTTGAGCGAACTGCCGCAGCTGTCAGGTTGTGGATCTTCTGATGATTCCGCTGGTATGTTGTGCATGTGGACGGTTCATGGACCATGTACATGAGGCCAACACACATTTGTTAACTTCCCATAAGCAAAGTGTCCACTTGCATGTGGCTGTTCCGATTCCCCAACAGAAGGCTTGGAATGACAGTGGAAAACTCTGACACTAACTGACATGGCTTCATGATGAGAAAAGGGGAACATTTTCATTTTCGGCCTCTTTTGAACGCATGGGCAACAACCCAAAAGTAAGTGGAAGGTGCGTGAAAATCCAACCCAAAAAAGTTGGTACTATTTTCACTCACGTTCATGACCCCCAGAGGAGAACTGAGGCAAAAACAACAGAAATGCCACCCAATGGGACCCCCCCAAAGTCATATGTTTCCCCCCGCCGAAAACCAAGAAAAACAACACCACTGATCACGGTTCTCATCAACGGCGCCGAAGGGTCACGCGCCCTGTCCGCTACTCCACATACATCGGTAGTGGGATCTCGCCCCTGGGGAGAGGCTCCATCTATTAGTGGGGAGCATCACCTGCTGGGAAACGGGGCCAGCGACCCTTAAAAGGAAACATCTTACGAAGGTGAAAAACCGTGTGAAGTCTGCCAGCATTGATTACCCTGCACAACAGGGGATTGAGTGAGCAGACTCTATGAAGATGGTGGCTATGGGGTCTGCCAGCATTGATTGCCCTGAGAGCCAGGGGATTGACTGCGCAGATCCTGTGAAATACTCGGTAAAGTGGCCTTGTGTGAGCATGCAGGGGCGCCAAATCCCTTTCTGTATCTCTTCTGTATCTCTTCACCCTTGTGAAGGGCGTCAGATAGACCGGTACGGACTGATACTAGGCACAGCCCGATTCTGTCTGCGCTTCTCAGAGTTTTGCTTGTAACATATATAGTTGGTTGTACAAAGCTTGTGAAATGAAAGTGGGCATTGTTTTGTTTTTTTGGGTGTTGCTTTGTTCCTTTTGGTTTTTGTTCGGTCCTCCTAGAGTGCTCAATATCTTTTTTTTTTTTTTTTTTTTTTTTTTTTTGTAATGCTCATATCAATGCCCATGGTAGTGTGTACTTTATCAGCCACAGGACCTCCTCCGTGCAAGCACGGATTCAAACCGGCGCCCTCAGCCTCAAGAGCTGAGTCTCTTAACCACTACAGCCATGACACGGTGTACAAAAGTGGATCCATGCCGGTCGTGATATCCAGCCCAGCCCTGCATGGCTGTAGTGTCCTTCAACTCACACACACACACACACACTCAACACCACACTAGGCATCCGCCACACAGGCAGTAGTCGCACACTCGGCTCTCATCCAGCACAACTGCTTATCCAACGGTTTTATTCACGGGTCACCACATCCAGGTATAATTTCAGTGCTGGTTACCCGGTTGAAGTACAGTCTGTACTTTATCAGCCATAGCTTTTCTGTAGGCTAAGGTTAGCACTGGTTTTAGGCATATCGTTAGTTTTTTTTTTTTTTTTTTTTT